CAGGCTGGATGGCGCTCCATGTTTTGAGGTCCGAGGTGGTGGTGTAGACGAGTTTCTGGTTGTGTGCCGGGTCGCGCTCGTCCGAGTAGTAGCACACGAGCTGGTTGTTGTAGAAGAAGAGGTAGGGCTCCCAGACGGGGGTAGGCTGGCATAAGCACGATAAGAGTCATCAGCCCTTACATCCTTGCCATCGGGTCCCTATGCATCAGCCGGCGTCCCTCCTAGCCACGACTCACCGTCCCGCCCGCCTTGGCCGTAATGTGCGAGACAAACTCCCATGTCACACCTTTATCCCGACTCGCGTACAGCTCGAGCTGCGTCGACCACAGCGTGCGATCGGCATACGCTGCGGTCTTGGTCAGATTCGCCGCGTTGGCTGCGGCGAGGACAGTGCCTGCCGGGTAGTTGCCCAGCGCCTGGGGCAGCTGGAACAGGTGAGGCTGGTACGGCAGCCCAATCCCCAGCTGAGTATCCTTCACGTCAGTCTGACAGACATGACAGACACCGTTCTACCACACCTGGATCTCGGAGATCTTGGACCACGTAAAGCCGTGGTCGGTCGAGCGGTATATCGGGAGATACGGCTGTCGGGTCCAATCGTAATTCTCCCACGTGCTCAACAGCGTCCCCTGCGCCTGCTGTCAGCGCTAGTCGCCACACCCACCAACCCACATCATTCAGCAAGACGTGTCGCCCGTACATGACCCTCGGCGCGGTGTACGTCGAGGGCGGCTGGAAGATGGTCAGCGGGCCAAAGTCCCGCTTGGCAAGGGGTGTAGCCTGGACGACCGAGGCGAAGAGCAAGGCGAGGGCGGTGAGTAGCATTGCGCGGGGGGGATCGCAAATGATGTCGACTGTGTCCACTGTCCAAGGGCTCTTATACTTCAAGGTGGACCATCTTTCAAGACGTTGCCCAACCCCGTCGCGCCGTTTCGCCGAACAACCTCCGCATGACCTGGTGCCCTCGAGAACGATCCGGAGCACCGAGGACGATCCGGAGCACCTCGTGACTTGCTAGACCAGGAATCGAGGTGCCCAGGCGTCGAGGTGATCCCAGATTGGACGTCCCAAAACAGATCTGGCAGTAAAAGGGCCGCGTGAGATTTCACGCTAATTGTCGTGTTCGGCGAAAATGACTAGCGTCGTTCGGACAGTCGACTTGTCAAGCGGACGCAGCGAGGACGGAGTGTAGTTGGGGTGGCTGTCTGCGATGCATGAGCTGGCCTGAGCTATAGCCCCCATGGTGCGAGTCCGGGTGCAGAAAGGTGAGAAAGCAGGTCGGCGTTTGAAGGGTCACATGGTCCGGGGCCAGCCGGCGTCTTGCGTGTGCTGTTCGCGACGGTAGCGAATACGTTTAGTATGCCTGCCCCTTCAGACTCAGTAGGCAAGCTCGAAAGGTCAGTAGCAGCGCCTGCAGCCATGTATTTCAGTGATCACGCCGTCAGCGCCAGAAGCTACTCTGTACACGGTTCATACGAATACAACTGTCTCAGTGTCCGTCGCGCCATACGCCCAAGCCGCGTTATCGCTTGGCAGTGGGAGAACCAGCCGCATCGATCCCTTCGTGCATGAGGTCCTGGATGGACGTCTCGAGATTGTCGATGCGGGAGGACATGTCGTTCACTGTCGTCAGCGGGGACGGTTCGGGCGGGGCTGAGGTGGGAATCAAAGGGGACTAGGTAGGAAGTGGTAGGGGATGGGTAGGGGATGGGTTGGGGGTGGGTAGGGATTGGTTGGTGACTGGGTGAACACTGGGTGAGAGTGGGTAGCGAGTGGTTAGATTTGGACCCAGTCTAGGCGCAGACCCAGGCAGACAGCCGGCAGAGGATACAGGCCGAAGCGCTGTATTAGGGCGCGTACAACGACACCCCAGTCGCTCTCCACACCCCCACGGTGCACTCACTTCGACTCCTGTCGTCAGCTCTGCCTCGTGCCATTCGCGACTCACAATATCTGCTCGCTCATATCATCAAACCGCGTCTCCAAGCTGTTCAAGAGCGAGTCGACCTGAGATTAGCCCTGTGTCGGAGTGCCCACCCAGCACAGATGTATCCCTTGCACACTCACAAACCCGCACAGCTCCCCAGGGCTGACCACGTCCTTGACGCTGCCCCCCGCGACGGGCAGGTTTGGGGCGGTTTTCTTGCTCGGCGAGGTTTGTTGTTTGTTCACCGTCGAGAGGCGTTTGATGTTGGACGTGGAAGGCGCCAGGGCGGCGGTGGATGATTGGGGTTGCGTCGGCGGCTGCACCGTCTGGCCAGATTGCGTTGGATCCATCTCACAGGACGGGATCGCTGCTTGGGGATGGTGAAGCGAGGGGAGAATGTGGCCAGAGACGACGGTGTAAACGAGAAGAACCAAACTAAAGGTGCAGTCGCGAGACGAAACATGTCAATCTTCATCCTTCATCTCTTGCCCCTTCCCCCCACCTCCCTCACACCCTTCCCCGCTCGCTGGTCGGGCTCGAGGCTGAGCCAACGTGTAAAGCACCGCTCGTGAAGCGCCGCCGAAACCCTCTGCATAGAGACCAATGCCGCGCCTGCCCAACTTTCTCATCCACCTCTCTGCGTTTGTCCGGCCGCACCTCCTCCGACCCGATATCCGCGTCCCTCGTGCGTGACGCAGTGTGAGATTGCGCTCACCACAGACATTGGCTATGTAGACTATCCGGCCCTCCGGCGCGAAGGGTTCAACGCGGTCGTCGTGGACAAGGACAATTGCGTGGTGAGTGCGGCAGTTTGAAGGTGACACTGAGATCCAGACCCTGCCTAATGTAGACGAAGTGTACCCCCCGTACCAACCCGGATGGGACTCCCTGCTCACAGCCTTCCCACCCGGGCGCGTCCTCATCGTGTCCAACTCTGCCGGGACGCCCAAAGACCCCAGTGGCATTGCTGTAAGCGCATCATCACGGATCCCTGAGAGCTAAACCCCCAGGCCGAGGCAGTCTCGCTCAACCTCCGAGCCCCCGTGCTCGTCCGCGAAACACCCAAACCGGGCTGTGCGTCAGAGATCCTGGCCTACTTTCAAGGGCAGCTCGGTCGACCGACCACCCTGCGAGGACGGATACACGCGCAGACGGAGCGGTTGATAGAGGTGGAACAGCAGGATGAGAAGGAGATGTTGAAAAGATGGATAGACCAAGCCGACCACGGCCCGTTGCTCGAGCCGGCGAAGGAGGTCACTTCCTCGAGTGAGCAGCTCAGGGACAGGGCGGTGGAGAAGGAGACCGAGACAAGCCACGAGGCAATCGAAACGACAAGAGTCGAGGGCACCGACCTGACCGGCCCCTTGCGCATACTGGTCATTGGGGACCGTTTATTCACCGACACCCTCCTTGCCCATCGCCTCTCCCGCCTGCTCCCTCGACAGCCCTCCCCGAGCGTGCTCTCTATCCACACGACGCTGCTGCCACAGCCCAGCGACGTGAGATTGCTGCGATGGGTCGAGGACAAGCTGTCCAAGGGTCGGTTGAGAGCAGGCCCTGTCGACTGGAGCCGATATGTACGGAACCCTTACGCCGGGGTGCCCTCACTCACCGAGATCGAGGCGGTCCCGAGGGTGACGTTCAGGGACAAGCTACGGGATCTGCGCGAGGATGTGAGGGAGAGCAAGCTGCAGTGGGACCCGCGGACGTGGACGGCGTTTGACCTGGCGGTCGGAGTGGGGAGGGGGTTGTACTGGGTCGAGACGCGTTCGTGGAGGTTGTTGAAGGGTGGTGGACTGTGGCTGTGGGCCAAGTCGAAGGACCTGGTCCAGCGCGCCCGTCAGGGCGGGTCCAAGGCGAACGTGGACAAGGCGGAGGACGCGTCGGGCGAGTCGGCGGCATCTTCGCCTCCAGCGTCGTCGGGCAAGCTGTCGGAGAGCAAGGCGGTCGCTGCCTGAGTCTGAGGGCATGTTGAACGAGTAAATTCCATAGCACCCGGTGTCTGTCCATAGCCAGACCACCCGCACATATCTACATCACGTCGCATACACCCTACATGTTACTCCTCTGCATCGTCAAACTCCCCTTCGGTCCACTCGGCAGGCCGCTGGACATTGCCCCAATCGACCAGTCCCAAGAACCTATCCATCTGATCCCCCGTCCCTTGTCCGGCCTCCTTGGGATCAGCTCTGCTTGTCGACTCAATAAGGGCGGAAGCGCGCTCCCGGCCCTCCTCCGCTGTGGAAATCGCTCCTCACCCTGCCCCCTTGATCCTCCTCGCCATCTTGCTCCTCCTCGTCCTCCTCCTCGCCTTCCCACTCGTCGTCCGGCCCGTCGTCCATATCCCCAAAGCCGAAGAATGAGCTCGGCTCGCCGTTGGGCAGCAGCGACATGTGCAGCGCCGAGCATTGCGACAACGCGGCAAAGAGCGGTTGCACTGGTGGGGTGAGCCCTTCTGCCGGGAGTATCGGTCGCTTACACTTCGTCTCGGGGAGGAAAATCCGAATCTCCCGCATCGGCGTGTATTCCTCCTCCTCGCCATCCGCGTGGCCATTCGCCCCACTGTCCGACTCGTCCACCTGGCAGTAGACATGCGCGGGTGAGTCTGGCGAAGACGGGGTGAGAGCGTGCAGAGTGAGCGAAGGGAACGGCAGCGTCCATCCAGCCCCGTTGGGAGGTAAGAATGACACGGCGCTGGGTATTTAGCTTTCCTGCTTGACAAAATACCACAGCGTGACTCACGATTCCGTCACCCACAACTGTCCCGCGACCCTCCCTTCGTACCCTTGGAACCCATCCCTCGGCTCCAGCGTCACTTCGACCTGTTCATCGTGGAAGCGCAAGATTGGCGGGTTTCGATCGAAATCAGCAGGCGTCGAGCTCGTCGCGACGTCGTGCTCCTCTTGCGTGATCAGCGGGGGCGGCGAGGAAAGCGGGTTGAGCATGGTGGGGTGGAAGATGCAAAGGTGAGGTGGAAAGTCGAAACGTGCGGGCAAAAAGACGAGGCGAGATGAACCCAGGCGCGCGCGCGGTGACGACGGGAGGGGGGATCCGGCAAAAACAGCAAAAACATTGCCCGCAGGCTGGATTGAACAACCGACCTCACCATTTCACGATTCGAGAATACGAGTGGCACGCTCTACCACTGAGCTATGAGGGCTAGCCAGTAATGGCTTAGGGCGTGAGAGTGGAGGTTTGGTTTGCTATATATACCCAACAGCAAGCCATCACACGTAACGATGCTTCGTGCATAGACACCGCTGAGGGTGGATCTTTTGCGGCATGATTGACTGCGTGGTAGGATATGTAGCTGCAAGAGCGCACTTGACGATGATGGTTTGGATCAGCCCTGTATGGCAGGGGCATGGCGAAGATCGCCTCGTCGCCATCGCACCATCCTAATCGTCGACAGAGATCGACCGCAAGTTCCATGCACGCGCCATGCATGCTGAACTTCGCCACTCTCAGATCCCCTGCCGCTTCTATGCAAACCCCGCGAGAGTACTAGACCCCATGCAAAAGTCGTTTCTACCCCGAGTGTGATATGGCGTGCTCGGACCAAGAGATCTGCAGATAGTCTTGGCACATCGACTCGGGGGGCAACGTTTACGTCCGACTCCTGTACGGTCGGTGATTGCGCCAGGTCCCTATGTATTGCCATTACGTCGACAATATGTGTACGTGTAGCCCGGTGTGCCAAGATGGGATGGAGGGGCTACGTTACTGCTGAGATCTGCAATACCCCCGGGGCCAAGGTATAACGCCATAGCAGGTTTTTCAGGTTTACAACTCAGCCCGGCGACCCGATGCTATGCTGATGGGTACTGAGACGCTTAAGAGAAGTACTGACCGCGTTTTGAGCGCTGGATCCCCCCGTGACTGGTCGTCTGGACTCATACAACTGAACACGGCAGGTAGCGTTTCACACCGCAGCGACGACACATCAAGCAGAACGAGACGGACTAGACGAACGAGACAAACGAAGGGAACACCACGATCGCACGAACGAGCGAGCAGCACTGCCACCTCACATGTCGCGGAATGAAAAGTCTGTGGAGGGTTTCCCCCCACCCTCGTACGAAGAAGAGTCCCTCACACTCGCCCGCGACTGGACAGACAAGGAGGAGCGGCCGGCGAAGAGAAAGTACGCTAGGGGTAGAGAACCTCACTGACGTCCAGACTCGACCTGATTGTCATGCCGATCCTCACGCTCGGCTTCTTCTGCCTCCGTAGGTGCGAGTGTCCTAGTCCCAACTGACGGCAGAGCTCGACAGGGGGAACATTGCCAACGCACTTACCGACAACTTCATGCAAGACATCGGCATCAGCCAAGACCAGTTCAACGTCGGCCAACAGATGCTCTCGCTCGGGATCGTGCTTTTCGAAATCCCCTCCAACATGATTCTCTACCGCGTGGGACCTGGGAAATGGCTCACCCTCCAACTCTTCCTCTTCGGCACCGTGTCCACATTCCAAGCTTTCCAAAAGGGGTACGCGGCGTTTATCATCACGCGCCTCGCGCTGGGGATCACTGAAAGCGGGTTCATCCCGGGGGGTCTGTGGACCCTCTCCACCTGGTACACTCGGAGAGAGACGGCCAAGCGGGTCATGTTCTTCTACTTTGGCAACCAGTTCGGCCAGGCCAGCTCGAAGCTCATCGCCTACGGGATCCTGCACATGCGCGGGGTCGGTGGCAAACCAGGCTGGTTTTGGCTGTTTGCCCTCATGGGCGCGTTTACCATTGCGAGCGGGTTCGTCTTTGGGTTCTTCCTCCCCGACTCGTTCAAGAACCCGCGGAGCACGTTTTTGCCCTGGAAGAAGAGCTGGTTCACCGAGCGCGAGCTGCACATCCTCCAGACGAGGATACTCATCGACGACCCGAAAAAGGGGGAGAAGAAGTCGCACATCGGGCTCGCCGCGTTCAAGAGTGCCGTGAGTGAGCGTTGTCTGGATAGCCACTCATGCCCGCAGTTTAGCTACTGGAAACTCTGGATCCACCTGCTCATCACGCTCTGCAACAACGGCCCGCAACGCGCCTTTGACACCTACTCCCCCTCGATCGTCTCGTCGTTCGGCTTCCCGGCTTTGTCCGCCAACGCGCTCGCCTCGGTCGGCTTCTTCATCCAGATCCCCGTGTCCTACTGCTTCTCCTACGTGTCGGACCATTTCAACCTCCGCGGGCCGACCGTCATCGCGGGGTTGAGTCTGCACCTGCTAGGGTATGTTCTTAATCGGATATTCACCGAGACAAACAACCGCGACTTGCGGTATTTCGGCGTCGTCTGGACTCAAGTCTTCGGCACGTTTTCCCACCCGCTCAACATTGCCTGGATGTCCCTCACCGCGCGGGACTCTGAGGAGCGTGCGCTCGCCATGGCGATGTGAGTGTGCAGTGGTATGATGTCTAGTGATGGCTGATCCCAGGGTGATCATGGGCGCGAACGCCGCGGGGATCTACGGGGCACAGATCTTCCGCTCAGACGATCGACCGAGGTACCGACGTGGTTTCAGTATCAACATTGCCGTACTCTCCCTCGGCGTCTCTCTCGCCGTCGTGCGATACGGCGCAGACGTCTTGGCGCGGCGGAAACGCGCAAAGCAGGTGGACGCGGAGGAGGTTGGCCATGGCGCTCGCACGCCTGAATCGCCTCGGAGCGAGCCTGAACTCAAGGGGTCTGCAGCGGTCGAGGTGCGAGAGTGATGGTCTGGTGCAGAGAACGCCCATGCATAGATGTAAACATGTCGGAGATCAGGCGGCACACGACACACGCGGATCAGAACGCTGTTGTCAGCTGCGCCCTCCTCTCCCACTCACCCTGGGTCCTGAGCCACCCGCCGTCAATGACAATCTCCGAGCCGGTCTGGTACTGATTACACGCGAGGGCCAAGATGCATTGGGCATAGTCCCTGGCCGTGCCCGGACGGCCGAATGGGATGCCGTATTGCCGCTTGTAATGCTCCTCGCCCAGGGCGTCCGAATACTCTTTCACGCTCATCCCCGAGGGAAAGTACCCTGGGGAGATGGCGTTGACGCGGACCAACACCCCCCGACGGGTCAGTTCGGTCGACAACATCTGGGTGAGCTGCCTCGTGGCTGCTTTCGACGAGTTGTAGCTAAACTGTCCGCGCTGCGAGGTGAGGCAGATGCCTGAGATCGAGGCGATGTTGATAATGTTGCCTGGTTCTGGCGCGCCGCCGAGGGTCTGAGCCTTGGCCAGGAGGGGCAGGAAGGCCGAGGCGGTAAAATAGTAGGACGAGACGTTGATGCGGTAGGTATCCGCCCAGGAATCAAACGACTCGTTGTTGAACATCTCCTCGGACAGTGCTTCGGGTGTCTGCTCCACGCCGTCGATGTTGGGCGGGGTGAGACTGACCCCGTGGTCTGCTGGTCATGTCCTGCTCAAAGGCAGCGTCACTCACTGTTCACCAACAGGTTGATCCACTGGTCATTCTTCTCCACCTCGGCGCGCAGCTCTGCGATCAGGCGAGTCCCCCAACACTTCGGCTTACTCAAAATCCCCTCCTTGGTGCTCACATCCGCCTGGACAGGGACGATACTGCCCCGGCCGTCCTTCGGGCTGGCCTTGTCCCTCGCCTCGATCAGCGGCCCGAGGCGTCGGCCAGTGATGTACACTTTCGCACCGTTTTGCGCAAGGGCAGCGGCAGTGGTCAGTCCCAAGCCGGTGCCTCCTCCGGTGACTACGGGTCAGTGCCGCCATGATGTCATTTGGGAAGACCACCGCACCTACTGCCACCCAGCCCGACACGTCGTAGAGCTTGGGGATGGACAAGGCTTCGGTGCCAAAGACCGAGTTGGCGAGCGCGTGCGAGCTGCTAGACATGGGTTTGGGGAGGTGTGGTGGGGGTGTTTTGGAAAAAACGGCGGGAAACGGTCAGGTCTGCAGTCAGGATATATCGTCGACAGACTTGCACCGAGACGGACCATTTTACCGGGGGTTTATTGGCCGTCGGAGGGTTTGGAATCTCTTCGGAGGGTTTTGGGACTGAACCGTCCGATCCATGCATAGGTGGGAAGCTATACGCTATGCACATGCAAAACACCTAGGCGATCGGCTTTTGCATGGATGCCGAATGCATAGGCTCGCAACGTTCCGACCAGACCTCGACTCACCGCGCATGCTCATGCACGCAAGCCAACGGGTGCAGGTGTCCTCAGGACCCGCGGGATGCGCGGTATAGTCTCCACAAGTCTGGGCTCTGTCGGTCAATGGCGATGGCGTCAGAACAGAGGCGCCGGGGGGTTGCAGGAACGAAGGAAAGCGACAGGATCGCTCTCACGGGTTGGCTCTCCTTGGAGCTATAGCTTTGACGGGTCGATCACGAGTAGTCATACACCCCCAAGCGTTCGAGGTGGTTCAGTGCGACGAGTCGGGTTCAGATGAAAGCGGCTCGACGGGTGCCGGATTTGGTCGAGGAGTCGAGGGGGAAGGAGAGAGCTTGGGGTTGGTGGGGGCAAGGCGGCTGGGGAGGGTTACGAGGGCTGGAAATTCACCCCCCCTCATCACGTCTCAACCCCCTTGGCTGTCTGTCGCATCAGTAGTCCAGCGGCACCATGGCCCAGTGGCCCAGTAGTCCACTGCAGCTCCCACGTCAGAGAGCCGAGTATGCATCGTGCAATGCCGACTGCGAAATGTCCCAAATAATTAGACGAGAGACAAGTCAGACCCAACTTCGGGACCATCTCGATCGTCGTCCTGGTCAATTAATTCGCTTTCTCCCCTACTCCCCATTCCTTCAACCCCCATGTGCATCTTCTAGATCTAGCGTATATAGTGCAGCCTCAACGACAGCAGCCCCCGCCCCACCCGCACCGCGTGCCCCGACGTGCGATACTGGGTTGAAAACAAAACAAAAACAGGTCGAGCCCGCCAGACCCACTCATTAGACATTTCCGCACCGTCGCTCATCCCCACGCCATCGCATCCCACACTGACCATGGACGGGTCGGGCCTGAACAACCTCCCCGCCTTGGCCAGAACCTCGACTATCAACACGATCGCCTCTACAGCCACCGGCTCGAGCTCCTCGTCCACCCGTACCGTCAGAGCATCGCGCTATGCGTTTCACACAGCTTCCGCCGACCCTTCCGACTTTTTCTACCACGCTCACCATGCCTATCCCGGATCTTTCGCTCCCACC